TTATTTTATTCTTTAAAAAATACTTCATTAAGAAATATGACTTTTTGTATGTGAAAGACTTATAATATTAACTGAAAGACTGCCAAATTTCATGAAGATATACCCAATATATAGAGTTATAAGTATTAATTTATATTAACTTTAAACAAGTACAGAAGGTCACATGATTTGGTCAAATTAACTGACCCCATGTTGGAAGAATTAAAGTCTTTATAGTTTTGATACTACTAATTTTTAATATAGTAAGTATATCTTCACAAAATTTGGCAGACTTTCAGTAAGCATTATAAGTCTTTCACACACAAATAATATTTTTAGTGAAGTAGCTTTAATAAACTAAAAAAGAATTTGTCCGTGAATATATCAAGTATTTTTTCTTTATTACCTCATATGCAAAGCGATTTTCATGTTAAGATTAAAAATAATTTTCTCCATAACCACCAAAAAAAAAAAATTTAAATAAATCTAAATTACCATCTTTTTTCTTTCTAGAATGACTTCAAATTGTAACGTGAAACTACATTTGTTTATCCTAAGTAGCTTTAAACTCATAACAGTATACATCTGTTTATACTTAAATTTCATTGTTTTATTGCCCTTTGAACCATGTCTAACTACTATTACTATTCATGCCATTATAAGTTGTAAATCACTTAGGGAACATGGAACTCACAGTATACTATCAAATTACATTACCCAAGAGCTATTCCAAGCTGCTCATGTGCATGCCTTTTGAAACATTATTATTATTATACTATTATTATTTATTTTAGCTAATCTAACTTTTAATCTAAACTAAAGAGATCCCTGTTTTTACATTTTTGTTACTTTTATAATAATAAATAAAGAATAATCATGAAAAACAAGAAATAAAGTGTTTACACAGGATATTTTTGTTATCTTTGATAGGTTGTTTCGACCTTAAGACGAAAGGCAGAAGACTTTCGAAACGTCATCTTCTACATCTGTAGGTTTCTACAACAGGCAGTTGCTGTCCATTTGAAACTTATATTCATTTGGTATTTTTGTTGTTGCTGTTGACTGTTGATGACACTTAACCCTACTTCAGGTTTCGACCTGAAGACAAAAGATGGAAGACTTTTGAAATGGCATCCTCTATATTTGTAGGTGTCTACAAAAGGCAGTTGCTGTCCATTTGAAACTTAGATTAATTCGATATTTTTGTTGTTGCTGTTCACTGTTGATTACACTTAACCCTACTTTTTTATACTAATGGTAGTAATGCACAAAATAATTTTCATTTAATTAAATAATGCACCAAAGAACATAGAATAATAACATACGAAAAGCAGACAATTTCCCTTAACTATTACAACTTTTCTGGATTTATAACTATGCCACAAGAGCTGTTACAAATTCATCTAGTTAGTCAATATCTTTCCCATGGGAACTAAGCTTGTACTACAAGTGAAATTGATGATTATCTGTTCAGAAAACAATGTAATATAATACATCACTTGATAGATGAAAACCTTGGATTTCTATTTGTTATACATAATATAATATTAAGAGTAAGAGGGAACTATTAACAAATACTGAAAGGTGGGTGTGGCAAGAGTTGTCTGATTTTCTATTTGATGGCTCTGTAACCAAACAAGATTGAAGGCTATGAAAATTATGGTTTGTCTGAGCAATGATGATTTTATATGAGTAATTTTGTTAAAATTCGTACTTACTGGAGGGTTGATGAATAAAATAAAGAAGAGGGATGATACTAATTGGTATAACATAAACAAAAATTTGTTAATTTAAATTCTGAAAGTAAGCCACTAAAACCTTGTGACATGCACAGTAAATGATGCCTGGGCAGAGTGGGTTAAAAAGAATTGCTATGATGCCATTGTAAGTATACACAAAACATGACTTAAATTATGAAATAAACAAAAATACTAACCATATTTATATTTCAATGTGTCAAATTATGAATAGAGAAATGAAAACGATCTCTCCTACAGATATGAATTTAAGTGAACAGAGAAAGACAAATTTAAAATTATTCTTAATTTATGGTAAATATTACTTTTCAGTTTTTGAATTAAATATCATAAATTCTGGTGAAATTAAAATATTATTTATTTAACTATTTTTAATCCACTGAACCAGAATTTTTTATGTGATTTTACCAAACAATATATCAAAACCACAGTTGCTTGTGGAAAGTCAAAGTAGTATGAAATTGGTTACAATCTACTATTTAGATTTCCTTCTTTATAAATAAGACTGTCTTCTAGCACTTAAAAAAACATTTTGAAGGATAATGTACAATAATGAGATTATAACAGTTTGTCAATATCAATGACCAACAAAGTTGGAATGATAATTTTTATTTAAAAAAAGAAAAAGAAATTTTAAGAACTGTACTATTGAAACACCAAAACGAAAAAGGGAAACCTTATACCATGAAAAATGGCTAATGTTAAATAGATGTTTTAATGTTCACAACGTTTTGGGCTGGGCTGCCCTTGCTCTGATTTTAAACTTTAGCTGATTTTGTACCAGTGAAACATTTGACAATGCTACTAAAGTAAAAACAAGATGCTTATTTCTCAGTACCTGGACGGAACTTGTCATGGTACTTAAAGCAAAAACTGTAGCACAATCTTTCACTGTTGATTCGCTATCAAAAGCACCTTGGGTGTCCATCAATAGCACTGCTACCTGGAATAGAATATTACTTTAAATGTTTATCTGTAATGCAAACATCCTTGAAAAATTTAAATATCTTTTTTGAGTTTATTAAATAACAGTAGAAAACTATGGCCTTATTTCTTAAAACAGTAAAATGAATATAAAGAAAACCTTCAGTATTTGTTGAATTAATAGCATTGTTGTCACAAACGTAACGTTTTCCAACTTTTACTCTAAAAGTGTTTTAAGTGTTCAATATATACTTGCCTCAAGCCCCCACTTTCTGATTGCTAGACAAAAGTCATAACCAAGTTATTGTATCTTGAATGCTGAAGGTCTCGGAAATTTTAAGATAGATATTCTGTCATTAGACTGCCAACCTGCCAATTTTTTAAAAGTTTCTAGGTTTTTCTCTAGAATATTAACCTATCAGCTTATAGAAAGTTAAGCATCTAATAAAGCTAAAACAATGGGAAATAAAACCATTTGTAAGATATTCTGGAGTCCACAATTGTTTCATTTATACATAATTGACAAGTTGGTGTTTGGCATTTAGTTAAGCCCTAAAATAAATATTACAATATCAACTCTGGTTTGACTCATTTTTAATGTAACACTAGAGTACCTGTTTATCAGTTTCAAAACTTGACCTAAACTGCTTCATATATATATACATATACAGAGCCAAAAAAGTAACTAATAAATTAACTGAATCTATTTCTACATGGCTAATGTTCTATATAGACATAACCTCATATATCAATACACCAGTAACATGAACTCTATAATGCTCAGAATGTGCTCAATCATCAATATAGTATCCTTACTGTTAACACTATTTACAGCTGTACTTATGATTATCACATACTTAAGAACTGATTGTTGATGATTTCCACACCTGTGCAATAAAAATCTTTTAAATGTCTCATTTACCAAAGCTTTCAATCATGACAGAAACTGACAGTTTATATTGTAATTTAACAAAGTACAGAGTAACTATTCTACAGCATTCTTGTTTCATTATAATGTTCATGTGATAAAGAATAATGAAAGTCAGTATTTACTTTAAACGTTAGCAAAGCTTTAATAGAATTAGGTTTAGGATTTTTTTTTTTATCATTACTAGTTATTACTAATATTTATAAAAGTGGATCCTCCATGTGAAACTGTCACCTCAATGAAATTGCTTGACACCATTGCTTTGGTTTTCAAGTTATCATGTAATAAAAAAGAAGTAGAAGAAAGAAGAAATTTCCATGAACTGATTAATACAACTCACAGTATCTCATTTACCAATTATCTCACTGAGTTTTGCAAACAGCTTTTGGGAAAAGTGATTAATCCCCCTCCCCCCGAGTTTCCAATTACACCACATGCTATTTCCATTCACTGATATAATTGTTAATCATTTTGGCTTGTTACAACATCACATTGCTGCCAGATTAAATTTTTTCAACATCCAGAATCCTTGGACAAGCTAGATATAATGGCATATATTCATCAAGAACAACATTTACATGCAATACTATACTATTCTCCCTATCTTATCTGATTATGAAATTTATTTCATTGTATTTAGTTCCTTCTAATTTACTGTAAATGAGAAAAAGCTGATATGTGTCTAGTAAAGATAATTAATAATATGGAAAGTCTAAAATGGTTTGGATACCTTTTCCCCATTTGGGAGTGTGACTTGGAAAATTTCATCCCACAAGAGAATGCCTGTGGTGTCTCTTTCTGCACCACCTCTCCATGAGAAGCCTGTAAGAGGAGTCTCATCATCTCCCATCCAATCTGGTGATCCCTGCAGTGGTACACATTACAATGCACATTAGTATACTTAAACAGAACAAAAATGCTTCCATATTAATAAAATCAGTCAAAGAAAAGGGTATTATTTGATATTTATAACTATTTAATAATGAAGGTGACTTAGTACATGGATTACTTGAAAAGAGAGATAGCCTTTTTTTTTCCTCTAGTGAAAGGCATTTGATTAATTTAACATTTTCCTTAGGACAGCAAGGGACCTTTTGATCCATCTAGGCTATCCTATCCACTAAATTAAACTAAACCTGATTCAATCTTATTACTCAACACAATTTCTACCACCATACCCTTAAATCTAATTATATGCCCAAAAGAGCACATCATCTGTTTTATATATTTATGGCTGGAAGAATCTTAGAAAGAAAAACTTGCTTGTCATGGCAGAAAGTGTCATCATTTCGTGCAACTTGCATGTCAACTGGTATCAAACCAGCATATATATCAGTGTGACAGATGGCTGACTCTTCATCTTTATACAGTAGTTTGTGTAGGTCATTGGTTAGGCCGCAGTTAGAGTACTGTGTTCAGTCGTGAGGTATCCTATCCTCTAAATTAAACTAGACCCTTAAAAAAAAGCACCTCAAAGTCAGCCTCTATCATTCAAATATTTATCAAGCTTTCCCTTAAACTTCCTAAAACTAACTGCATCCACTACCTCCAGAGGCTAACCACCCTGTTATAAAAATAAAGCTATCCCAGCTGAAGATGACTTTTCTGTCAAAAGTTATATTTGTGTCCCATAGTCTTACCATTTTCACCATTACATATGTAAAAATGATGCATCAATACTAAAAATTCCCTTAACCTTAAACATCTCAATCAGATCCTCGCTAGCACTTTTTTTTCAGGAGAAAGCAAGTTCAGATATCTTAACCTATCCTCATATGATAACCTTGCCATTCCAGATATCATCCTGGTAGCCCTTTCGAACAATTCAACATCCCTTCTGAGATAAGGAGTCCATGTATGAACACAGTATTCCAAATGTGGCCTAACCAATGACCTACACAATCTACTATATAAAGATGAAAAGCCATCTGTCTGTTACACTGATATCTCAGCTGTTGTGATGCCAATCAACATGCAACTTGCATGAAATGATGGCACTTTCTTCCACAACAAGCAAGCTTGTCTTTTTAAAATTATTCCAGCTATATATTTATAAAACAGATGATGTGCTACCTTGAACATATACTTTAAGGGTAGGGTGGTAAAGATAGTGATGAGTAATAAAATTGAATCAAGTTTAGTTTAAGTTAGTGGATAACATGGACCAAAAGGTCCCTTGCTGTCCTTTAATGTTATGTCTTTTTAAAATTCTTCCAGTCATAATATATATATATATATATATATATAAAACAGATGATGTGCTACTTTAGCCATATAGACTTAAGGGTAGGGTGGTAGAGATTGTGATGAATAATAAAATTGAATAGGGTATACGTGTACCCCCATGCTTGGTATTGCCAGTGCACAAAATTCATAATCATTGGCTGAAATTCCCCATTATGTTTGCTTGGTTGTCAAGGGGACACACTGATGTAACGTCACCAAATTTTCTCCAGTTGGAACCCTCGGCTGTAACTGTAATAATCACATGCTTTATCCACAGCATATTTGAATTTTGAAAATGTCCAAATTAAGCCCACTTCTTCAGCTCAGCAGGCTAACAAAGCCCAAACCAGAAATACAGTCCAAAGAAAAGACTCAGAATTTCATAATAAAATTCAGTGCCTTTACCATCACAATTAATAATTTACAAAGTCATACAGTTGACCAAGTACGAATATCTCTCAGAGAATCAGTTTCTTTGCATATTTCAATCTATAAGGATTTAACAAGATGAACATTTTACCATAATTGAAAAATAAACAGAAGTCAAAATGCTAATCAAGTAAAAACTTAAAGAAGATGACTAAATATAAATAAAAAATGTTATATTCATGAAATACTAGAAATAGAACAGTCATTCTCCATACATATATTGTTACTAGATTATAATTAATCTTTAGAAAACATGTTCATAAAACATATATTTAGACATAATTTTGAGAAGAAAAATGAATCATTATTTCTCATCATATGATGGGCATTAAATTTGTGACATTATAACCTATTTAGACTTGTACTCAATATTTCTGTAGATACAACCTAAAATCCCATTTGCCATGCAATTAGCAATAGCACAAATAAGACCCAAATAATTATAGCAGTAGCCTAAGAACAAATATGTAAGACATATGCAAGTTAAAACATACTCATATATGAAATTTTAGATATGGGCAACTTTAACAAACTCACTTAGTGGCATTGTTATAAATTACCTATAGAAAGATATAAAAGTAAACAAATCACTAACAGTAATCACAAAGTTACATGCCCATATAAAGAAAGAGTTTAGTAAAAAAATACAAGTTCAAGTTAAAACTTGTTTTACAATACTTAAAAAACATTAATAGTGAGGATTATATGATATAGATTACATACAATACTTTAAAATATATATATTCTCATATAAAGAAACAAGGTGGGAAACACAAGTTCAGTGGTATACTGCAAAATATTTTAAAATGAAAAATAAAACAAACAATCCAAGCAAGAGAAAACAGAATTCAGGAGGACCATTTTATATCCTTGTTAATGGACAAATGATTAGCTCTAGCAAGAAAATCTCCTTATATTTTCCATTTACAAAGCTTTACCACTTTTCTCCATCTTTATTAATAAAGAGGTAGGGGAAATGTGGTAAATATGGGTTGCAATCCCAGGATCCAGTATACTAATAAGGGGTCTCCAAATCCTAGGATTTATAGAAAATAATCTCAGGATTTTCTCAACTGGTAAAGTATCACTAATATTCAAATTTTTGCTTTTCATGGTGGAAATACTTAACCAAATTGCATTAAAAATTGTAACCAATGTGGTTAAAGATTAAATTTCATTAAATGCTAATAGAAAGCTGCCTGTGCTCAAGTTTAATTGCTAACACAATGGATAATGAACAACCAGTCTTGCTGGATGATGGTGACACAGTCAAATACACCGCTTCAAGCATTTATAAGGTAAGATAACAGTTTTGTTAACACAGCTTATTGTGCAAATCTCCTGTTTTCACTTTTTTTTTAATTATTTAACTTAGATAAGGAGAACAACTTGTTTAACCCTCTCATTACAGGTAGGTCAAAGTGTACATTCCACAACCTTTTACAGAGTTGCATTCAAAGTTTTATTAAACTATAGTAGACTGAACAAGTGTTCTTAATAGGGAAGTGGTCTTACTAGGGATCAACCAGTTCATCAATTAACTGTAAAATATTTGAATATTGAGTTGTAATGTTATGTGTGATATTTCTTTGCATATCATACATCCAAGCTATTAATAATTATTCATTTCTTGAATATCTTCTATTTTATTGTCTTTATTTTCCTCATTCAAAGTATTTTACAAATTTTAGTCACAGAACATGTGTGTATACATATTCTATTACACCAAAAAAGTTGGGATTTTTGGATCGACATCGCCATGTTCACCACTGATTATGAGTTGTGAAATGTTATGTCTAGCTTTGAATTTAGTGAGGCATCCAGACGATGCTTTGAAGTCAGAAAGACCCAGATTAGTGACTATTGTGTCTTTTCTTGCAATATAGGTCCGGAAACTGGAATTTTCATAGCACTAGCTTTTTGATACCAAGACCATAATGCTGCTTCAAGGTTGTCACTCGCAAATCTAAAACAAATTCATTTTCATGAAGATATCTGATTCTCTTCAAATGCTGTCATATATTCAGCCTTAGGCTTCAAAATTTACTGGATTTGTGTTTTGCTGACATTGAACTCTTCAGCTAATTTGTGCTGGCTTTTATTGCTGGCATTATGTGCCTGAATAAATTTGACTTTATCTGCCAATGGCTGCTCAACACAATCAGATGGATTTGCCTTTGGCATCATTTCGGAATAGAATTTCTATGTCGTGGAGATTTATAAAAGCATTTGACAATAAATTTCATGTGCTATCATGAGCTGATGTGGTATTTATACAGACTGTATCTGTCATGTTAATGTTATTGAAGAGTATGTGAAAACATTGCCCTTTCAAGTGGCTTCTTTCGTAGCCACCTCCTATTAAATTTATAACCAACAGAAAGCCTAGATTTCAACTGATTGATTGCAATATTATTTATGCCATGTGATGTTTCAGATAATTGACAATTTAGCAGATGAGAAAACATTTTTCCCACAAGAACACAGTGGGGAGCTAAGTTGAATTTCTAACTGCTCAAGTCACATGATTAGAAAGCAAGAAAAATTCTAATAGATACCTAACTTTCTCATCTGTTATTGTTCTTCATTGCATTATTTACTTAAAGAAAAATTATTTTGTGGACCAGTATCATTGGTGAAAGTATTAGGGCTGACATAGGACAGTAAATGACAAAAAAAAAAAAGATTACACAGGTAAATGCTATATTTCTTGTTTTTCTTAATTATTATTTATTTAATTGTTATAAAAGTAACTAAAAATGTAAAAATTAGAAACTTTTAGGCTAGATAAGGTTAAATTAGGTAATATGAATAAAAATGATAATAATAAAATTTTTCTACAAGGTACACTTGCTATGACTAACAGCTCACGAGTAACACAAGCTTCATGTAACTTTATTAGTGTAATACTTGCTTCATGTTACCACATATTTTGAAACATTTTATGGTGGGAATTTTAAAAATCATGGTCCAAAAGTCATTAAAACAATAAAAGTTAATTAAAAACACCATCAGAGTAATTTAAAAGTGACAGGCACTGAGTGTTGCCAAATATTGAACACAACTGCAATGAACAATGACCACACTTGGTAATGTTTATCATAAAAATAAAAACAGACAGCGGGCAGTCACAATGTGGGAAGTCAATAGTGGCTTTGGGACTGATTTCAGTGGTCATAGTATGGAATAGGGGAGTGGTCAGCCTTGGAA